GTTTGTCTATGTCTATGCCATTTAGAGGGAAAACCAATATTTTCAGGAATAACCATCTCTATTCATTGTCTTTAGCTGTTTGGGACACAGAATTTCTAAAGTGTTACGCTTCCTCTTTGAGGGAATTTTTTTTTTTTAACCGAGAATCAAACTCAGGACCTTGTGCTTGCCAGGCAGGTGCTTATGCCCCTGAGCTATATCCCTGGCTTTGAGGGAATTTTATTTTCATTGTGGTTCAGTTTAAGTATCTGGGTCTCATTAAGAAATAAATAAAATGTTGAATGAATGCATAAGAAATGTTAGCAGCTAATTCCTGCCCTGCCAAAACTATGTAAATTTAACTAAACTTTGTAAGCTTTGATTTTAAAATAAGGAACTTGGACTATTTGATGTCTAAGGTTGTGCTCAGTTCTAATATTGTGATCTAAAGATAGACAGATGGAACCGATATGGAGGAAAGGGGCCTCAAATTTATTAAGTGCTACTTTTGTAATGTAGTCTTTCCTCTAAGTAACCCCGGTGTTTTTCCTTAGGAAAAGCTAGAATGATAACATTGTCTTCACAAGGGTATTTCTTCCTGTATATATTCTTGGAAAATGTTTAGACAATAGAACATGAAACTGGCCACCCAAACCCTAAATATAAATAAGAAATAAATAATGATGTAAAAATAACATATGTCTTTCAGCATATCAAGAAATTTGTATTGAGTCACACTGGACCAGTGCTCATGTACGGCACTTTACTTTCATAGGAAATTCATGGTGAGGAATATGTTATAGGGACAACTGAGCTCTAAAGATCAGGACAATAAAACGAAATTTCATTCCCCAAGGGATGCCACAGAGAAAGCAGCCTACAGGGCTGCTGTGTGTAGCTATCAGATTTATTGCACAGGTTTCCCATACTCAGAATAACAGAAAGACACTAAAATGGATCTCTTTTAAGGAGAGGGAATTTTATTTACGATGAATATCAATACATTTACTGTTAAGTGCCAAAAAAACTTTTTCTTTAAATATACACTTTTGTTTAGGACATATTTGCAGTGCATAATGATTACATTTACCATGGGAAGTTTGTACATGTACACGACAAGCTTAATTCTTGGTCTTTTGTCCCCTTCCCCTCCCACTCCTCCCTGCTCTCCCCAACTCTTCTTCCCCTTCTCATTTGCAAAAGCTTTATTTCCATTTTTAATTCAACTTTCTTTTTGAAACCCTTTTCCCTCCCTTCTCTCCCTATTCCCTCCATCTCTCGTTCCCCTTCCCATTTGAGAAAGATCTCGTTACTTCCTCTTTTCTACCTTTTATTTTGGCCTTTTTTATACTTTGGGTTTCTCATGTAAGAGAAACCACGTGGTATTTAACTTGTGCATCTGATTTATTTCACTTAATGTTATAGTCCTGAAGTGCAGCCATTTACCTGCAGATGCTCTTATAAAAGTTTTTATGAAACTGCCCACAGTTAAGACCAGTGGGAGCTCTTAGCCGAGATAGGCTCAGAACCTGGGAATACCTTTGGCCTATGCCTTGCTGACTCTTCAAGTAGTGTTAGAAGTTTATGGAGAAGCTGGGACTCACCTCAAGCATAAAAGCATCAGCCTCCTGTGTGTGTGTGTGTGTGTGTGTGTGTGTGTGTGTGTGTTTATTTTCTCAGATCTTTTATTCATTCTGTAAAGATTCTTGCCCATTACATCTTTTGGGTCATTTGGCTCAGATCACCGTCTTACACGACATCTGCATCTTGTAAAACTTTCCCAGTTGTATATTTTCAGTTTAAACGTGTTCTTGACAGTTTTACTGTTAACGAAATAAACTTGTTTGTGCTAGCATTTTCCAATTCACAGATGTCTTATTTATAGCTCATGGGAAGGCATTTTTCTTCGTGTAGAAAACAGATTGTGAGCCTTTCCAGTCTTAATAGTTTCCTTATCCATAAAAACCATGAGGATAACACTGACCTAAGAGTACTTGACTTTTGATTAATCAAAATTAAGAGCAGTGGAGTTAAGTGAATATTTGAAAATACATTCTCCTTAGCAAGAGCCAGATCTACTTTTTATTTTTCCCTTTTTTTTCTTTTCCTTCCTCGCACATATTAAGCACATGCTTTCCCACTGAACTACACTACCAGCCCCTTCGGGTTTTTTTGTAATCCTCTGTGTAACTTAGGTGGCTAAGCAGCTTGTGCACTACATACTGTGACAGTCTGCTGAGATACATTTCATATGACTGCCTTTATTATGAGTTGACTTTCATATGGTGTAAAAGGGAAGGACTTTCTTGCTAGTAGAGCTAGTGATCACTATTTGCTCACATAAGGAACACATTCACTGATTCTGTTCACCATGGGTATTTATTGCATACTATTAGGAACTGTTGGTTTTTAGGGTACATTGGTGATCCATTCAGATAAGAGCTTTGCCCTCACTGAGCTCAGACTGGAACAGATACTCTTTATGGTATGTGAGCTGCTAGGATATGACAGTTCCTAGAAAGAACAACTAATCTAGATTACGGTGTCATAACGCCTTCCTGAGATATGTAAGCTTTGTACTGAGAATTGGAAAATGAATAGGTGGAAACCCAGTGTTCTGGTTTTTCACTGCTGCCTAACAACTTCCATATTTAATGGCATAAAGCAATTATTTTATTATATAATTCAGTTATATGGGTAAGGAATTTGGATAGGGCTTGCCTGGATGGTTCTTCTGATTCACATGGTTTTTCACATAGTGTGCTGTGTTTCAAGCTGTAGGGATTTAGCTTAACATGGCTAAAGCCATCCTGATTCATAATCAACATGATTGTCCCTTTAGGGTCACTGGTCAGTTTTCCCCAAATAGTTTCCCAACATACTACAGAGGAGCACAGTCACTAATGTGGCATGTGCAACTTTGAAACCTGGATTCTGGTGACATCAGTGCCAAGACTATGCTTGACATCTTGATATAAGCTTATGATAAACCAGATACATTCTGGCTTGGACGATGTCATTTTTGTCCAAACTACTATTTACATCCCCTGCTTCTGATCCAAATCACAGGGGCCCTCCTGGTCTTGATCCACCAAGGTCCATCAGGTATCATACACCGGAGCAGGTTGTTCCAGAACACAAGCTCTGCTGACTAGCACACCCTTTCTTTTACAGTGTTTCAATCTTCCAGGTAGTGCTTCAAGAGACTAAGATGGAATCCAAGACATCCTGTGAGCAAGTTTCAAGTACCACACAACCTCACTCATTCAAGATATGGATGGTTCTGTGTGAGTCCTAGAGAAAGTATGAATTCGGGAGGAATGGGCACACAAGGTTGTCATAAAGGAGGCAAGGTTCTAGGAAACTCTATAGACACCAGCTACTACACTACAAGGAAAGGAAGAGAAAGAGATTCTCAGGCAAGGAAGTCAGGGCTTTTGTGAGGAATTAGAGTTTAGTGGCAGAGAAATATACATTTCCCTTTTCTTCTCTTTATCCAAAATGAATTATGGGATAAACTTTTGGAATCACTGTTTGTAAGGCTTTGTGAATATACAAGTCATTTTTATCCTGAGAAACCTGTGGAGATTTGAGTTTTTTGGGTATAGGAATAAACCAGGGAAGGCATTGACTGTGATCTATTGCCATTTGACCCTAGTGAATGAGATACCTCTTAATTTTTTAAAGCTTGTCTATCAAATTAAGTTTAAGCTGTAGAACAAGTACTTCCTCTTAAACTCACACAATCTTCATACAATCAGTATGTGACACTCTTGCCAGTGTAATGAGCTAATCTTAAGTGATGTACGTCACCATTCCACACTATGTTACCTCCTGTGAAGTCTTTTTACTAATTTGAGGCAAGCTTCCAATCTTATTCATTTATTGAGCTGATTAATCTCATGTTTATTCCCATTGATTAGCAGGGCCAACAGAAAACTGACCAAGATCTAAGGAGGCTAAGGGGGAAATATCTCAAGCACAAGTTTAGAAAAAATCAAAGTTAATCTGGAATAATTCATATGAGATCACCTAGTTTTATTGTCAGTGAAAGCGAAGGTAGAGTGTTGCTTTCATATCTAGTATTTTAAAATTTTTATCTGGATATTAAACAGCCTCTTTTGCCATAGATTTTAGGCCTTTACATAAACAATTTCTAGGGTGCAAAATAAAACTATATCCAGTTTTGACTGTGCTATAAACCGCCTCATCAGAGACAAAGACTTGTTTTTGTCTTCTCTGTAGACCTCGGTTGTGAATTGCTTGTACGTGAAACCCACAGTTCATATATTAAATAACTTCTCACCTGATGGGCCCAGCATTTTTCTCTTGCATGAAGTTTTTTGAAAAGTTAAAACATGTCATAAAATTTTGGGGTCTACAGGCCCTTTATACTCACCAAGTATTTAGCAAAGTATTTCTCTGAGACTGTGCATCTCAATTTCAATTTCTTTTCCTCTGTCCAAAGGGAGGGGGTTCCCTTCTCAGCAGAGGGTCCTGTTTGCCATAGGCGTTTGGTATGAGTAGAGGGAGCTGTGGAGAGAAGGACGACAGCGGGGTCTCCAGTGGAAGAGAGGCAGAAGGCCATCTTGGAGACCCAGAACCTGACGTTTAATTGAATGTTTATGTAAGTATGAGGCTAAGCTTCTTCCTTCCATTCCTCCCAATCTTCTGCAGCATCTACTGCGCTAACAGATGTTAACGCTGAACAGGTGCTTTTTGGGAAATTGACAGTGAAGCTGAGTTACAGGCAGAGATTTATCACGGGGCTGTGGGATCTCCAGATGGAAATGACTTTGAGAATGCAAGCCCAGTGGGGAGGTGTATCAGCCAAGGTTTACCAGAGAAACAGATATAACACAATGTACACAAATGTATAAGAAATTACAAGTTTGGTTTACAATGGTCAGCCACAGAGTTGGACGAGGAAGCGTGCGGAGGAGATTGAAGAGCCCAGTCCCAGGCCTGGAGCTCATTGCAGTGTCCGTACAAGTCCGTATCAGGAGGCTGATGGGTCTGTGACGAGTTGCTGAAGAATCTACAACAAAGGCCAGAGTCTACACCAGAAGGCTGACGAGTCCCAGGCAGAAGCCGAACAGTCTGTACCAGAAGCCGGGAGACGACCATCAAGCTGAAGGCGCAGACTGGAGGCCTCCGAAGAACCAGCAATCAGTCCTTCCTCATTTCCCTTTTATTGTATGCAGCCTATCTGCCCTGAGGGGGTGGTCCTTTACACCCACACCATCTCCATGCCCTACTTTGCACAGGCTCAGTAAGGACCTTGGGGCCCTGTTGAGTCACATAAGTAACCCTCTAAACTTCTCAAGTTGACACAATGAACAACATCCTAGAGCAGGAAGGTCCTGTCCTTTTCACTCCCCGGATGTAGAACTGCTTGAGTTACTTAATTAACTCCTCATGTTGACACAATGTATCAACCATAACAGGAGGACTCTGGACTTCTCATGGCATGAGTTAATAGGCCAGCCAATCTTACTGTGATATTAATAGGCTGCAGGATATGTCAGACACCTTTTTCTATGATAAACCATAGAAAAGCATTTGTAAACTGTGAAGCTGTATTAAAAAGAAAGGTACTTTTTTACTCTATTAAAAGAAAGGTATTTTTATAACACAATTTTAACAAATATAGGATATATATGCTTTTTTTAGGATATATATTCTTATTTTTAGGCTTATTTTTTTAGAAAAAGTCATGAAAAATAGAGCATTTTACAAAGAAAATGCAAGGTACCACAAAGACATCCATTAAAAATTAGTCTCTTCATTTAGTAAGCAGTATTTTAAGTATACTTACAGGTAATATTTTCTCTCTAAGAAACAATGTTACCAACTTTAAGCACATGTTAAGGAATATTACTTTACATGTAGATATCAAAATCAAATGCCTAATAAAAAATTAAAATCAAGCTTTTAAATGTATCTTTTTATGAAAACTATGAGTGTGATACCTGAACAAAGTATTGGGAGAGTCCTCCCTCCCTCCTACCTCTTTTACAGTATTTTGTCGTAGAAGATTATGTATCTTCTCTATGACTTTTTACTTTTAAAGATTAATAGACCATAGAGAGTAGCAGTAGTATCCCTAATGCTGTCATTTTTCACTACAATTAAGAAAACAGAGTACACATGATATTTTGGTTTTAGACAACTAATAGTGCGATCACTGACCAGTAGATGGAGACAAGACTTCCCTCTGTCTTTGGCCATGGTAATTGGCTCATCTGAGAAGAAACCTGCAAGTAACAAAAGAACTTAATTTAGTGCTGGACATTCAGGATCACAACAAATGTGCTGTTTAACCTGAAAAATGCACATGTGTTTATGCAAAGAATTTCCTACTATAACTAGATACAATTTCAAACTTAATATGTAATAAAGATAATTGAAAAGTAGGTTGTTTTTAAAATCCTAAACAATTCATCACTAGCTTCAAAACTTATAGATTTGGGTTTTTTTCCTTTTGGGTTTCAACAAGTTATTTTTCTTAAACATCAGAGGGTTGCTGCAATGTTACACTCTTGAAGGGACATTTGATGTTCAAATCTCAAGTTATTTGCTTTGGCATAAAGATAAAGCAACATTTAGTAAGAGTTAACACAGATTCACGCTCAAATCCTTAAGTGGTGTCTCATCACAAAACTGAAATTAACATAATAAAACCCAGGTGCTACCCTGCAGATCAACATCACATCTGCTCTCCCTTATGGACATCCTGAGGTAAATTATTTTTAATGCATGAAAGTAAAGATTCAAAGATTTCAGTTTTAGTAATGACCATGAGTCTCTGCATTTTAAATATCATATTCTAAATGGGATTATGACAATTATTATTAATGTAGAATTTTAGAAGGAATATAAGGCATATCAAAATGTGCCTAAACAGTTAAATGCTATCAGAAATATAGCTCTTAATGAGATTAATGAGACTTTCCTTGTTTGTATTAAATAACATGTGTGTTGCAGTGAGAGTGCTCTAGCTCATGATCAATTTCATTTTAATTTTTAATTTGCCATAGATGTAAGTACTATCAGAAATAACCACATAAGTGAAAGATGGGGGTGTGACTTTGGCTTAGCTCTTTCAACTGCTCCTGATTTAGGAGCCAAATACCTCCAAGTTACCTACCACTGAAAGAACTGTGATGGCTCATCAGCTAATTGGTTTGATTATTCAGTTTTGCTGAAAGTTGGATATTAAAACTGACTGGCAAAATGCTGTTATCCAGAGACACCATTACTTCCAATTACCTATTTGTTTGGTTCCTGAGAAGTGTGAATCACTAGCTGTGTCTTTCTCTCATAATGTGAAAAGAAGGTCGTCATAGAAATGGTGAGGATAATAGAGAGGAGAAGAGAGGAGGCAGAAGAGACACCTCCGTTGGGAACATTTTCTCAGGCAGATTATTTTGAGAAATACATATACATGGAATTAAAGACTAAGGAATTATTGTCTCACAACTGTTCCTCTTACTATTTATTACATTTCTGCATAGACCCAGATTCCCCCAATATAAGGGTCACTCTTCCAAGCTAAAATTCAACTCTACTACAACAATCTGACTCTCAGTATGTTAAGCTGATATAATTAAAGCAGATAAATGTCCTGTCTGACAATAATGGAAACTGTACCCATCCAGTGTCTCCCCATCATTATGAGCAAGCAACTCCTATTGAGTAAATAAAGTGTTACACTGAGCATTAAGTGATGAAGCCCTCAGCTGACAGAATAATCTTCCCATGCCGTGATCATGGCTGATCTTGGAACAACTCAGGGATGGTTGTTTTCCAACAAATACTTTCTTCATTTGAGTACAGCACACCTAGTTAATATATAGAGCTATAGTTTCAATTATAAAATTTCATGGTTGTGCAATTGTTAAGGTTTGTATCTAGATGTCCTTCCAAAGCCTCATGCAATCATGGGGTGGGCTTTTACAGTTTTCAATTGATTTGTGGTCCAATGCTGGGATTACGGGTGTGAGTGCTACTTTGAGGTGGACAGTCTGCACACAGTATAAAGGAGGGAAAGAGGCTTGCTATTGCTGCTCCTCCCTTTTTGCTCTTGTTGCTTTTGCTGTGTTCTGCCTCCATAAACTGTTGCCCTGTGCCACGTGCCACTCTGCCTTGGAGCCAGCCGAGTATGGACTGAAACCTCCACAAACTGTGAGCTAAATAAACCCTTCCTTCCTTAATTCTGGGTGTCAGGTATTTTGTCTCAGCAACAAGAGAAAAGTAACTGAGGCAGCAATTAAATAATGTTATGGTCTGAATGCTAATGTCAAAATTTTTATGTTGGAACCTAATTCTGAGTGTGGTGGTGTTAAAAGGTGCTGCCTTGGGGAGATGATTTGTCATGGGGTGGAACCCTCAGTGCTGACTGGCCTGGATTCTGTGTAAAAAAAGCTTAAGGAAGGCTGTTGGCCCTTTCCATCCTGTGTGGAAGCAGCAACAAGAAGGTGCTGCCAGAAAACCAGGAAGGCCACAAACCTGTCAGCTCCTTGATCTTGGGCTTCCCGGTTTGCATTATAATAAATTTCTATTGTGCCTAAGATACTCAGATTGTTATATTTTATTACAACAGCCTGATCAGACCATGACAAGAACATTACAGAAGTTTCTCTATTTATAATGGTTCAACTTACAATTTTTCAATTTTATGGTGATGGTATGAAGCCAGCATAGACACTTTCAGTAGAAACAGTACTTTGAACTCTGAATTTTGGTCTTCTTTTGGGCTACAATATGCAGTAGGATTCTTTCTCATGATACCACATAGCAGCAGCCCAAGATTAGGAGGGGAAACAACCCCCAATGTGTTGTTTGGCCAAATGGTAATGCTTGGGTTAGGAGTACAACTGCATTTTTAACTTTCCATGTTTTTGACTTGCAATGGGTTAATCAGGACAACTTCATCATAAGGTGAGGAGCATCATAGTTCTGATCTTCATACCAATCTAACCTAAGGAGATAGGCATTGTTATTCCCACCTGCTAATGAAAAATATGAGGGTGAGTGATGTTGAGTAGTGAGTAGCAAAGGAAGGACACATACAGCAACTTCCACTCCAAATGATAACAATGGCAAGCCACGTTTTTGGAACAATTATTGTGTTTCGTGTGGTGAGCCTCTGGGCTGGAGCTTGAGGAAGCCTTGTTTTATGAATTACAGCAACATCAAGGACATGACATTTGATGGTCGTGTTTAAACCCAAACCCTTGAGAAAGTTGGGTGCTTCACAAAAATTTTTAAATGGGAAGAGGACCAAGAGATGGAAGGGGTGGAGGAAGTGAGGAAGGGAATGAAGAAAATGAAGATGTGCTACGTATATGGACCAGCTCCCCAGAAGGAAAGTAATCATTATGGATGGTAAACATGGACTAATAAAAAAATAAAAATTGGTGGGAAAACTATAAGATTAAAGTAAACGAGCTCTAACGTAGAACATGGGTATGTTAAAACAGTCCTTCTTGAAACTCAGACCCCAAATATTGTTCTCCATTTTTGATAGGGATGTTTGAAAGTTTGTGTGCTTTCCCAGAATTGTATGGAATCTTTTTCCAATGTATTAGGAGAGGTTTTGTTCTTGAATGCAAGTTTCCTTTGCCTGGTAAGTTTAATAAAAGTGACTTCATATTTTAGAATCATAATTCACTTTAACCAAACATCATCCTGAGCATGTTGGATGCTCAAACATTTAATCTTCTTAATAACCCCATGAACCATTTTGATCTCTGCCTCACAGTCAAGGAAACTGGGGCACACAGAGATTAATCGAGGCCACATATTCAGGAAAAAGCTGAGCCAATATTCTGGGTCCAGAGCCCACATTCTTAATCACTACCATATGCATACACAAGAAAAAAATTTTAATTAAAACTATATTAGAACAGCAGGAAGGAAGCTTCTGTGGGAAATGCCTTAAAGATAGACAACAAATAGAAACAGGGAAGCATTAGGCAGACAACGGGAGTAAAAGATGGAGATGATGTGAGTGGGGAGGAGACTGAGTTGTGGAAACTGTCTGTAATTAAATGGGTACAGTAGCAAGAGCACCTAAGAAAGCAGACTCCTGGATCATTACTTGGCCGCTCTGGATGTCTGCCTGGTGAAGGCACCATTGTGTGGGAGCTTGGGTCAGAGGAGAAAGACACAACTACATGTACTTAACAAGGTCTAGGAGAAGGGCAGATGCTGGTGTACTTGGTCCAGTGGCAGATTCTGACTCTTCCAGCACTTCTCTGCAAACATAGTCCCCCCCAAAATTTCAACAGCTCTTCAAAACCCTTAATCCTTCCCTGGGTTATGCAATCATGTGACAGGCAATCTAATCAGAAATTTTAACCATAAGTCTGAAAGCACAACCAAGAGTCATTGTGCATTTAAGAGTACGATAAAAGCTCAGATAGTGAAATAACAAAATAATTCATACGTGACAAACTCAGAATGCTGCCGGTGAACATTAGCCCATAAAAAATAACTAAACAAAGGTTAAAACAACTAAAATTCAATTGAGTAGGTGCTGGCAGACTGAACCACAGTTGGCCTTGTGCTAATAACTGTTGCAGTAGTTTAATGGTAGGCCCTTGTGTTTCATTGTAGTATTTCTTTTTATTTGAACATATGTTTGAAAATTTCCATGATAAAAGAATAAAAACTTATTTAAAAGAAAGCTCAATAGAAAAACCAAAAGGATCCTCATAGGATATACCACAAAAGCTAAAGAGAATGAAAATGTGATAGAAAAACTAAATGACCTGAATGGTAGAGTCAGCAGTTGGGACATCATTGTGCAGTCGTAGCGGGAGGAATGGGCTGCAGTGTACAAGAGAGTGACACATGTGCTCCTGTGGGTCCTGAGACTTTGAGGCCTGGCAGCCTCATGACCCAGCAGCAGATTGTCAAAAGATCTTGATCTTTGGTGCCGTGGACAGGATCTGGCCCACCACCTTGAATAAAGGGGTCCAAGCAGGTTCCAAAGTGACAACGCTGGTTTAGGACTCCCTCAGGCTGCTCTCAGAGAGCCCCTGCGAGACACATATGGCAGTGGGTGATCACCTAAATAAGACTGTAGCTAACCAGGATGCTGTCTTGCTGCTGCACACCAGCAGTGACATCAGTCCTGCTACTGTCATGGCCACAGAATGTCATGGCAGCGATGAAGACTCACAGAGTGGACAAGGCTGTGCCTGGCACTTGGCCTCCCTGATGTGAGACCAAACCATCTTGCCCCCAT